TATTTCATAACTTACTTTTTTAATATAATTTTTTTAAAAAATATTTTTGAAATTTGTGATATTATTCATATTTTGCATTTCAAGAAATTAATAGTGACGTTGCTATATCTTAATATTTTAGGTGTCTAATAGTAAATTTAGGCGTGCTAACAGATCTTTTCATAATGTTGTAAATATTAAAAAAAACATGATACAAATAGATTCTTAATTTAAATTTAAGAATTATAATGTTCTAAATGCCTAAAAAAATAAGCTGTTGTATAAGAGTAGGCATGGCCAGTGACAACCACATTCCTAAAATAATTCCCGTCTAGTAATAGGTATTTTTTAAAGATTCCTTACCAAAATAGGATGTCATTAGCGATGCCATTGTGTCCCCTGAAAATAACAGATTCGTGATCTGCAACAGGCCTAATAGAAATAAAAAAATATTGTTCGTCCGCCCTGCTCGGCCCGAATTTATTTAAATATAGAAATATTAATGGTTTGTGCAAGAATTTTAAAATATATGAATAAATGAAATATAATGATGTCTCATTTAAAAATTTAAACCCGACCCGGCTTGAAATTTTTTAAAATATATTAAGTCCGACCCAGCCCGAACCGAAAATATTTTTTAAATAGACCCGACTCGGTCTGAAATCTATTTGGGCAGGGGTCGGGTTTGTACCCTAGCCGTGATTTGCAGATTTCTATTACAGATTTATTTATGTTTTATAATAACTAATTTTAAAACTTCAGGGCCAAAGTTGAATACTTTTTGATGAATTTTTTAAAATAATACTTATGAATTATGCCTATTAGTTTTTAATTTTCTTATAATTGATGAATAATTGATATGTGATTATATAAAATTAAATACAAGGGCAAATCTTTAGAGGTACTAAATTATAATTCATATATAGGGAAATGGAAATTAATCAGAAATATATATAATATATTAAATATTCAAAAGATATTTGGATGATCTATCGATTATATCAACAATATGCCTACGAAATTTTGGAGGTCGTCAGCAACTGTTTTTCTCATATCGGAGACCAAGACAATCATATAACAGGGACCAAAATAGTATATATCTCTCATTTGACGGGAGAAGTAAAGTACGATGTAATCAAGCTAGCAGAAATCCATTTGCACATTCCACCTGTGGAAAATGTGGAACACCCTATAATGGTCAATTCACTCCAGATTTTGTATTAGAGAGCATTTCCTTACAATCTTCTTACAATAATTGGTTCGATTTCATTGGATCCTATTATTATGTGTATGTTACCTTAAAAAACTGCGTAAGTTCCTTTATACTTATAATTTAATAAAATATTTTTATCTTTTTTTGTAGGTTCAATATTACACTAGCTTTTTTTCATCAGATAAAAATATTTTAAACTATTTTTCATAAATGAATGCTGAATTAAAAATGAAAAGATAAATATCAAAATTGGTCATTTTTATTTCACAATGTTATTATTGATTATACATTAAACATTTATTATATTGGGCTAATTATCACGTCTAAAAATTAAATTTATGATAGATAAAATATGTAATGTAGTTTTAGGCTTAAATTTAAAGAAAGAGCCGAAATATCTTTAGTGTGATATTTCAATATGTAACAAAGGGTCATAATGAATATATTATGAATTTAAGATGCTTAAAAAAAAGCATCCTATTAAATTATTAAAAATTATCGAAAAAAAAATACAGAATACTTAATGCATCTGATTCTAAGAGATAATTTAGAGGGTCAGAAATTTTATAATTATTACTTATATATACAATAATAATCCTATCTAGTATTTATTATTCATATGAGGTTAGATTTCTTCCAGCACACTCTTAATCCCAGTCCTCCACGCTTTTCTGTCATTCATTAAGTATTCAAATAATGTATGATATATACCTCTGATTTATTTACAATTCATAATACCAGAATTAGCATTAATTCATTAGAAATATAATTGACATCAAATAAAAAATATTTTGTTGGCAAAAATCTGTATTTTAAGGGCACTGTGGGAGTTGTTTCACGAATATATAGCCTGCCCGTCACTGGTCGGCAAATTACATACCATGGAGATATCAAATTTAAGACTTAATTTGTATGAAACACATAAAAATTAAAATATTTATAATGGTATAGAGATAAACAAAGGAATATTGCAAAATATACTTTTTTGCATTTGGAATAAAACAATGTTGAATTTAACTTATAGTTACCGGAAAAGTAGAAAAAATATAGAAATTTCAAATTAGAAAATATATTAAAAAACGAATTCAAACTTTAAATAATCAAAAAACATAATAACCAACCTAATTAAAATAAGAATAATAACTTAATAATAATTCACATTACAACAATAGTAATATTATTTAAGCCAGGGCAAGACCGTCCATATAGGCCAGGCAGGCCTATAAATCCATTCAAACCTCCTTCCATATCAAGACCTTTTCAACCGCCTGGTCCCATAATCAGTGGTATAATTTAAATAGATCATATAATTGAGTTATTTTTCATATTATTAGAAGAGGGTGGTGTTAGTAGACCATTTAGACCACCTGGATCTAATAGACCTTTTCAACCGCCTAGTCCTGAAATTGATGGTATTATTTAATTAATTATCTCATCGATTCCTTTTTACTATTTCTAGAAGAGAATAGTGCTAAACCCTATGGTCCCTCCAGACCCTTTAGGCCACCTGGCCCTGAAATTGGTGGTATTAATAATAAAATCTATCTTTGAGTCACTTTTAATATTTTTTAGAAGAAATTGGTGGAAATAGACCTTATAGACCACCTAGCCCCGAAATTGGTGGTAATGATAAAATATCTCTTTAAGTCATTTTTTATATTTATAGAAGAGAGTGGTGCAAATAGACCTTTTAGACCCCCTGGACCCTCCAGACCCTTTAGGCCACCTGGCCCCGAAATTGGTGGTACATATAACATAAAATATATCTTTGGATTTATAATATTTTTAGAAGAGAGTGGGTTTAATAAACCTTTTAGACCCTCTGAACCTTCCAAGCCATTTGAACCACCTGGTTCCCAAATTGGTTATATTAATAAAATATATCTTTGATCATTTTTGATATTTTTAGAAGAGAGTGGTGCCAATAAACCTTTTCGAATACCCGGACAGAGACCATTTGGACCACCTGGTCTGGAAATCAATGGTTTTACATAAAATAAAATATCTCACTGAATCATTTTTAATATTTTTTAGAATATATTTGTTGTAATAGACCTATATTTTTTATTTTATTTAAACTACCATCTGTAGACAAATGACAAATAAGCGGATCGGGAAATCAGGGCTTTAAACTAAACGCGGCCTAGGGAGTATTTTTGCGAGTTCGAATCCTTTTCAAACTCCACCTGAACCCGTACCCGTTTAAAAATAGGGTTCCATTTGAGAGCCTACCAAAAAATAATAAATTAATTTTATTAAAGATTACCAAATCAACTATTTTATATTTTTTATATTACATGTGCTTGTAAACGTATAAAATAAAATAATCTATCCTTAAAAAAATGTCGATTTTTAAAATTTGTAGGACATTAAAAAATTTGATACATGTTTTTGAACCGTCACGTTTTTTGCTGAATATATTTTTGGTTTAAGCCCTGGAAAATATTGAAGGTCAATAGAAATTTTTTTTTCTTATTATACTATTATTTATAACTTAGAAAGACCATCCACCTCGTTCAGGCCCTCACAAGGACCTTTTAGGCCACCCGATGAAAATAATTTAGGCATAGGGAATGGAGGTAATATTATTTAGTTAACATATTGAATTTAATTTTCTTAAATTATAATAAAAGAACGGCCTCCCTTTAGACCACAAAATCCTAATAGACCTTTTAGACCTCCTGGAACAGGAAATGAAGGTATTCTATAAATTGAATCAAATACATTAACTACATTTTAGAATCGATTGGTTCCTTTAGACCACAAAGACCTCCTCCAGCTGGAGAGGAAACTAATGTTGGAGGAACAGACAATCAAGGCTTAACAGGTTTCTTTTCTACTATATATATCTTTGTAATGTAAAATATATGAAAAAATCAATTTTTTCCAAAAATTAGGAGAAGGAAATGTTGGAAATGAGGGCAGTAATACAGGATTTGGACAAGGTGGAACAGAGGGTTTAATTATATTAAAATAAATTTTTATTGGCTAATTAGAAGGCGCAACCGGTGAGAATCAAAGCGGTATTTTTGATCCTAATTCTCGTCCTACGGATCAAGAGTTTGGGCCCAATAGTAAACCGAATAAACCAGAAAAGCCGCTTCAACCACCTGGAGGTTAGAATTTGGCTAGAAGAATTAAACTTTTTTAGTAGATATTTAAATATAGAGTAAAATATTAAAAATTATAAATTTTCTTAATAATAAAAAAAATTAATAATTAAATCACTTATGTTTTTATTTAAAATTGTTAAGTTTACTAATTTTTTCCTTTTCTTATCCCTTAATTAGTTTTATTTTTAATTTTAATTGCATAATTTAAAAAAAATAATAAAACTTATCCTTGAAGCAGAATTTCTTAAAACTATAAAAAGTTTAAAAAAAAAACTAATCCATTTTTGATAAAAATACATATATGATTTAATTTATCATAATTAAGATCCCGGTGATCAAAATGTAGGGGGTCAAGTTTCTCAGAGTTCTCGAGGAGGTTTTTATTCTTATTATTTTTATTCTAAGTACAAATCCGCAAACTTACTTATATTTCATATAATATTACCTAAACAATAATTCTCACTAGTGCGTCCATTTTAGAAATCATTTCATTATTCGTACATGTTTCACAAATATTAATTTCTGAATTCTAAAAAAAATTAATCGTATCTAATTTTGATCCTTAATGGATTTATACATGAGAATATTATATCAGTTTGAACGATATTTAAATAATCGGAATATTTTATTATACATAAAATAAAAATTATATTTTTAATAGGATGTGGTTTACCAAAAGTTCAAGATCCTTCAAGAAAACGGCGCGATACAAGTTTATTTTTTATAAATTAATATATTCATTTTAAAATGAAAATATTTATGTAGGGGCTTTAAATATTCCTGTCATGGCTTTTAATTCGAGCAAAAAGGTGAATAATACAAAAAATAAAAACACCTCAATTTCATTAGAAGCCCGTATTCTTAACGGTGTTCCCTCCAAAAGGGGATCGTGGCCTTGGCAAGCGAGTATTCGGTACAAGGGTATTCACTCTTGTGGTGGTTCTCTAGTTGCTGATAAATATGTCATTACTGCATCCCATTGCCAATTTAGCCGAAGGTTATATGATTAATTTATTAAATTTAAGTTCGATAATTACAATAAATAAAAAGTTTTAACTAATAAAGCAAAAAGTTCCTTACACGAATGTTAAAGGATCAATAAATGATAATCATTTTAAATGATAATGAAAAATTAGAAATCCTTCCGATATAACTCTAAGCTTTGGAACATTATTTTCTGGAAACGTAAACGACGAATTTGAACAAATGAGAAGAGCAGTTAGAGTTACTGAGCATGAAGGATTTAATAATGGTTTTTATCTAATAATCAATACCTCACATTTATTTATGCTTAATTAGGTCTTAAATTTAATAATGATATCGCTATAATTGAACTAGATTCACCTGTGCAATATAATGATTATATCTCTCCTATATGCCTACCCACCAAAGAATATAGTGTGGGATCATTATGTTATGTGACGGGATATGGATCCACTAAAGGTTAAGTTAAAAAAAATTATATTTATTTTTATAAACGATATAACAATGCATTAAACATATGGTAATTTCAAATTAAAGCAGATCCTAAAATTTCAATACAATCTTCACCTCATAAGTAAAAATAAATTTATTTGTCTCATATTCATCCGTTCCAAACATATATTCAATTTGTTCAAACATCTAAACACTGTATTATAAATGCATTTTTGGATAAAAATTTAAAACGTTAATAGAAAATCCGTAGCCTAAAAAATAAAATTCATATTGTGCGGCTAAAAGATAAAGGTTCCAAAATAAATTATAAAATCCCAATCAAAATATCGAAATTTTTAAGATTCTATTTAAAATAACAATTTAGAGTTAACCATACTACCTTTTCCAAAAAATAAAAAGAATTAACTATATAATAGTGTCCCATTAATTCCGGTCAATCCCCATTTATCCTCTCAAATAAGTGTTATATGGGTTATTAAACAACTTAAGTTTGCCCAAAAATCTTTATATTATTGGCAATATTTTTTTGTTACCAATCGTATTTTAATCAGTGTTAAGATACTTTTGAAGTTTTTCTAATCTTAACTGCGTCACCCTGGTTATACTATTTATTTATTTTTATTTTTTAATGATGAAGTCCTAATCGCCTTTATTTATATTCCTATTTTCAATTTATATAAAATTTATACTATTCTTACTTATTTAGCATATGTTAAGGATTACCTAGTGTTTATATAAAAGCTGGTGTCCTATTAAGCCACTAAGTGGGTGAAGAATTCTAAATTTTGAGTCATGACAGGCTCTTAAATTTTTTTTTATTAAATTTATAAATTTTTAACTCAAATTAGCAATCTGAAGAAAGAATATGATACACATAGTTTTTTTCTGGTGTACATTTAAAAATAGTATATTACTTTTTTAAAATATTTTTTCCATAAAATTAGTATGAATTTTTGATACATTTATGGCGTAGTCTAAATTTCGACTTTTAATGCTAATGGTAAATAAAAAATTGCGAATTTTGTTTTTTTCCCACAAGAATTAAGAGATCTCCGATTAAAAAAATAGGTTCTTTTTTACCTTTAATTATGATTCAAAAATTTTAATATATCATGTCGAACCTTGTAAATAAAACTTCATTGATGCCTTATTTCAAAGTTCTAACAAATATCTTTACTAGAAAAGCTGATGATTAAATTTCTTTGACCATTTTTTAGGAACCGGAGTGGAAAATGTTTTAAACGAAGTTGCTATTCCAATAATAGCCAGCCAACAATGTTCTGATCCTAATTGGCTGGGAGATAAAGTTAATGAAAATATGATCTGTGCTGGAGGAGATGAAAAGGATTCTTGCCAAGTTTTACAATTACAATTGATATTTATTCATCTAAATTATTTTAAAAGGGGGATAGTGGTGGTCCTTTTCAGTGTCTAGATGAAAGTGAAGGAAACATCTGGACTTTAACCGGTGTAGTATCGTGGGGAATAGATTGTGGAAAGGTTACCAAACCTGGCGTCTATACAAATGTCTTCAATTATATAAATTGGTTGGAGCAAAGAATTCCCTTATAAATATTTCATAATTAAATATATATTAATAAATGACTTATGTCTTTTTAGGTGTATCTTAAAGAACAAAATATTATAGCAATGATAATTAGATTTATGTCAATAAAATTTTTAAATTTATTATAAATATATCAACATCAGTATATTATATTTTAGGCTCCATGATCACTATTAGATTAGAGATATTACATCTGACTTTTAAGGACCCCTTAAAAATTTTAGGATAATTTTTTCCATCTGATCTTGCCCAAATTTTCTCTTTTTAAAAGTTCGTTTTGAAAAAAGGAAAATATAAATATTTAATATTATATTCTAATATATACTTTACTTAACATATAAAAAAGAAATTCTGATTTATAGCATTAGTGCTATAATTTATAAGTAGCATATATGTGAGAAGTTAGAAAACATTCGCTCTGGAAGAGTAAATATAGATTCTATTAATAGGGATGTACCAAGAAGGAAAAAAAGTTTAATACCATTATCACTGAATTTTCTTAATTATTTATTGGAAAGCTCATATCCTTTATTAATTTCTTTGACTAACTGTTTAAAAACCTATTTTATTGTAAATTAAAAATTCACGAATTTATTTGAACTATATTAATGCACGAGGAAATTAAAGTGAAACATGCAAAAAATTGCTTATAAATAAAGCTTTCTCAAGGTTAAATGCTTATTACGAGTTCTTTTATATGAATATTAATTCGAACAACATAGGATATAAGGGATTTGAAGATCTCTAATTATAATGTTTACACAATCGTATTTATTAAGAACATACAATACTATAATATCCCATAAAAAATCAATATAAATCACAGATGTTGGTGAATAATAAATAACAATACAAATCGTGGGAAATAAGAGTTTTAAAAAATATAATATAGATTGGAGCCAGAGTTGCCAGATATTCTTCACTTGAAAACGTGAGTTTTTCTTATATAATAATTAATGGGGGACCTCCTCTTCCCATACCCCCCAATTTGCGGGCCTTCGGCCGGGGTAATTGATGTAGCATACTCATCTAAGTTAATATGTTATATTTAATATAACAAGATTTTAAAGACAATGAAGATTCTTTATTGATTTACTAATAACAATTATGATATCTAATTTTCTCATGTTTATTAATATAGCTTAATATTAATTATTATATTTTATGGATGATTTTAAAAGAGGCAAAAAAGATTTACCATCGGCACTGGAGATATGCTGAAAACTCTTTGCATGAATAGTTCCACTGGATGAAGCATTTGAATCCGGAATAGAAAAAATAAAATTGCATATTTTCTCTATCAATGGTGAGTTTTTATTAGAAAGAAAATCCATCCATTTTTCTTGGGTATTCATGTCATAGTTTTTTGATAATTTTTCTTCATAATAGGAATAAAATTGTGATTATTCCTCAAAGAGAATTTCTGTATCTATGTTTGGTATTTTATAATTACTAATATTTTTTTGTAATTGTTCAAATTCTGGACATTATTTTAATGTCATAGGGCTAAGATATTTCCATATATTATCTATAATATCATAACGTTTTTCTACATATTCTATAATATTTTTTATAAATATCTTTGATTCATTTTTGAAATTTATTGCCTTTTCTACATCATTATTATGTTGTAAAATATTTTTAGAAATGCTCCCATAAAAATTTTGTTGAATTTTTAAATTTAGTGAATTCTTTAGTTTTAGGATAAGATCATGATGTATTGCTAATACATCTTCAGATTGCAATCTTAAATTTATGTTATTGACTAAAGTGTCAACGTTAAGGACAACACCTAAATATGCCTCTACAAAATCATCTCGAAAAATTATTTTAAAAATTGGTGGGGTTGCTGATGATAAAAAATATTCTTTAAGGGGTTGAAAATACTTAAGCATCCGCTTAATCTCTGGGATTAATGTATGCCAGCGTGTTGAAACATGGCCAAGGGATTCTGACCATTCTAAATTGCACCATTCTACCAATTCTTTTAAAATTGTAACTCTTTTTGTCGAGTTGCTAAATTCATTATAGCATTTAATTACTATACTCATATCATATTTGAGAAAAATTATGTCCTTTTTAAACGAATTGTGAAGTATGTGGCATATACAACCCATTGGTATAATATTATTACTATGGCTTTTCAATTCTGTCCAAATACTTTAATTTTTCCCAAAGTTTACAGATGCATAATCTGCACAATAGGCCGTTACATTAGCAATATCAATGTTGTGGGTAATTGATCAATGAATATGATTGGTTAGTTGGACTATTAACAAATATTACAATTTTTTAAAATATTTTAAAATAAAATTAATTTAAAATTTTATATTTGTTTTTAAAAATATTTTGAAAATATAAACGTGAGAAAGTGTGAGAAGTGTGATTATTTTAATTTACTCAAAAAACGTGAGAAAAGCGTGAAGTGTGAGAAAACGCGGGTAAGTAAAAAATTAGGTATGAAATCGTGAGAATCACGGCTAAATCGTGACATCTGGCAACCCTGCTTAGAGCTGAGGAGGCAAATATTATCAAATATATTGCTATGGTATGGATGTTTCAATAGCTATAAAGGGAGAAATAAAAATGAGATATTTTTTGCTATCATTATGCAAAATATTAAATATCACAAATGGAAATGAAAATATTTTCGGGGGACCAATTTAGCAAGTTTTGCATATTAGGAATAGATATAGAATATTATTTAAATAATAAAAAGATTACTAAATATCGCATTTGTTAATTAATCAAAATAATTAGAAATGAAGGACAAATAATATTTGGAATTATAAAACCTTATTTAAATACTAAAAATATAGTACATGCAGGGTTGGAGATTTAAAGATGTATTTGAATATTGCAAATACACTTCAAGAAAAGTATTTGAATATAAATACAAATGTTTATAAAATTATTTTAAATATAATATTAAATACCTACAAAATATTTTCAAAAAAAGTATTTAAATACAAATATGTACTTATCAATTTTTTTTATACTTAAATAATATTTTTATTATAAAGAATATATTTATTGTTGCAGCAGTACCATGTGCATAAATTATGTAATAATTGCAAATATAATTATCACCGTTTTATAGAGCATAGAATAAATCGCTGGAGGATGAAATCTATTTTATTGGTTTTATTTTTAGTTGAGCGATATTACATTTAACTTTTATAATAATATTGATTTTTGAAAATATTTAACAAAATATTTATATAAAATTGTCAAAAGAGGATGTTGACGAATCCCTGCTAAAATATCTTATAAATATAATAGCTTAATAAAGAAACTCCCCTTCAATTACTATACCTTCATAATCTTCAAAAAAATTTTGTTTCCAATTTCGGTCACTCATTTTAAAAATGAAAGATTAATTTTTTTCTCTAATTCAGGTCACAAATAAATAATAAATGTGTATATACATTTTATAATTAAAATAAAAAAAAGTATTTTTATTCTGAAAATCGTAAAATCGTAATAAATAAAAAACATTAGTATTTAAAATATAATACTAAATACTTTTTAAAAAATTCTTAAATATATTTAGTATTTTAAAAAAATATTCGCGTTACTGCCCAACCCTGTGTATATATGTATCTCCTTTTGTCAGCAATTAGAGGTTAATCACGGATAAATATATATTATTCTGGAAGATGAATTGGACAGTTTCAAAAAAAGATCTTTAAGAATAAATGTAAAATTTTATAAAAATAAAAATAGCCTACTAGATATTGTACTTTCGTAGACGCGTAATCATAAGTGAATTCGCAGGCCAAAAGGAGGTAGAGGCTAAGCCCCTCATAAAATTATGTTAATAAAGTAAATAAATTTCTAGACACTTTGCAACTTTTAGTACCCCTTTTTGTAAAAAGCTAGCAAAGCCCCTGACTCGAGACATAGCTGCAGGGTTGGGCAAATTTTCAGAAAATTGTATTCGGATACAGATACAGATACTTTATAAAATTTTGTATTTAAGATACAAGATACTAGATACTTTGGGAAAATTTCAATTAGAAATAAGATACAAGATACTTGTATTTTTTTTAAAAAAATGTATCTAAGATACAAGATACTTTTTTTTAAAAACTTTAAATAGTCAAAATCAAAATGTATAAAGCTTTATTTTCTTATCTATAATATAAATTTATAAAAAATTTGAAAATAAATTGTAGAAAATAACAAATTTATTATATATTTTAATGCGATATTTATTTCAATAATTATATAATTAGTATATTAATATATCAGCATCATAAATCAGCATTGTTTTTTAATATTATTAATTTTTCAAATAATTTATGGTTCAATGTTTAACGATTTGGTTTGTTAACCATATTAGCAAAGCTAAATAATCGTTCAACGGGGGCAGAGGAGGGTAATATTGTGTTATATTTAATAAATATTTCTTTTAATTAATTTTATAAAGAAAATTATATTTTAATATATGTAAAAATTAAAAAAAATACCTATGGAAGGTGGATTAAATATTGCTAAGTAAGTACTATCTATCATATAAAAATGGTGCCCCAAAAATTTGGATTATATTTTGGCCTAGTATTCAAATTAACAACCTCTTTTTTATCAATATTAGTTTTCTTATTCTTTTCATAGATTTTTTATATATCATTTTAATTTTATTATCAATCAATAATATAAAAATTTATTTAAAAATACTTTTAAATTAAGCAACAGATATATATGGAATATGAAATGATAATGAATATGATTATAAATGTGATTTATTATATAATTATATATTATACTTTTAAATGCTTGACAAAATTTGATGACGAGTCCGCAGAACCACTTATAAATTTGTGGCATTCTTTAGATTCTGTAGTAATTTTATTATGATCATGTTGAAGTACTTGAAAAAATTTCCCATTTAAAATACTTAATTTAAATTTATAGTTATATTTTTTGGTTGGAGAATCATCTGAAGACGAAGATAAACATATTATTCTATTTTCTTTAATAGACGGATATAAAACGATTCAAA